AAGGTTTCCATATGAGTAATGCTATTCATCCCCACTGGGGATGAAAACACAGTCTAGGTGGCGCTAATGTGGCATTAAATGATAGGTGAAATTAAATAAGTCATTTAATTTCACCTTTCATTTCACCTATCATTTACAGCCACCTAGACTGTGTTTTCATCCCCACTGGAGATGAATAACATTACTCACTTAGGTTGGTCAAGGCAATGGCAGACTCTTGTGTGGCTATTAAATGTAACAATTGCTAGATTTAAAGCACAACTTAGCTAAATCGCCTTTTTTTAGTTTCGTTTTGAAATAGTATTTCGAAAATCATTTAAAACCTGCTAACCCCACCACAAATCAATTGATCAAACATGGGTCAAATCGAGCAAAATATAAGGTTCTTGCCCATTTGTTCAAATCCACTTATCGTCTCAAAGTTGGAGTCTCGGATAGGGACGGATCCATGACTAAATTAAAAAAACTTTTAGATTGAATATTTAATACATATAAAAAAAATTATAAGTTTAAAATGTAATTTGACTGGGGCTAGGATGGCTTACGGACTATAGTCCAGGCCAACCTCCTAAATCTGTTATCGGTCTCAAATATCATTGAGATCCATCTTAATAGACGTTCTCATGTACTTATCTGGAGAACGAGCCCTTGTAAGAACTCCAGTGATCGATATGGGTGTGATTTTTCTCTTGGTTCAATATAATCATAATTCATAAATCATCATTAAAGAAATATAATTTTTGGAATTTTTAGGGAGGACAAAAGGATTGAGAGAGATCTAAGCAATCTAAAACTAATGTCAACTTGAAATTTTGCATACACGATAGTAACCATTAGTGAAATTTAAATCTCAAAAAATTTAAATTTAGGACAGTTCGAGGTGAGGATCATGTTTCCATTTTTATCCCGACAGTAAAATGGGTCGGGAGATATGAGGAGCGGAACGTGCAGGGTGAAGTATTATGGCATTGTGACACATCTACATTTATATGGAAATAGTGAAATACTTACATAGAGGTATGCCAATGTCAGTTTCTCAATACCGAAAATGAACTTTGCAAGTGTTTGATTTACGGTTTTAAGCTGTTTTTCATTTTCAATTTTTGCAAAACGTCCAAAAATGTTTGATCTGATATTTTCTGAAAATGTATTTTCGAAAAAAAAGTTAAACTTATAACATAAAATTCAACTTTTTTTAAAAGTGTTTTCAGCAAAAATGTTGAAAATACTCAAAACATGAGAAATAAACGTCCAAATAAAATTTTATTAAAATATAAATTTCTACGAGAATAATTCTAAAATTTTAGAAAAATAAAATTCTAAAAACTAAAAAAAGTTGACAAATAAATTATGAAATTATAAAAAATGAAAAATAAATTATAAAATTATAAAAATTAAATAAAAAATTATGAAAAATAAAAATAGTTCAAATTCTTATTAAAAATATAACGTACCTTCAGACGAAAACAAAACAAAAGCAGAAATTTCAAATAGCGGATGATCTAGTAAGATTATCCATTGCGCTAGAAGCCATTAGGATAGCAGCACCTCAGGTTCAGCGGTGTGAATCGATGGAACTAGATAAGAGAAATTTACATGTTTTGCAGTTTTTGACTCTTGTAGCAGCGTTCGAATGCTCTAGTATTGTATATTCAGAGTTTAGACAAAATAACTTTCAGATAAAGATTGATTTGGTCAATTTATTCATATCCTACTGTTCTACGAGAAAGCACATATAAACCCGAATACTCATAGTTCAAGATTTCTTAGGAATTGTCAATTTATTCATTATTTGGTAAGGAAATTGTGCAACAAAAATTTCTCATCTGCAGAAGTAGCAAAA